ATGGCACAACACTACGACTGCCAGGTGAGTTTGTTTCTCCCTCCTGCTTCCCACCAGTGGTAGATCACTCCTCATACGTCAGCAGGCTTACAAACGCTATGCGTTCAGTTAAACCTGCTCCCCTCCGACCACAGTCCATTGATGTTTTCGTTCACCCTTGTTTAAAAACTTCTTCACATGCATTTGTTCGTCGTGACTCGGCACGTCGTCCTCTAGAACCCCCGTATGACGGACCATATAAAGTGATCAAACGTATGGATAAATTCTTCGTCTTAGACAAGAAAGGCCACGAAGACACCATCAGTATCGACCATCTGAAACCGGCTTACTTGGAAGGTAATCCTATTAGCCTAGAGCTGAGCGTACCTAATAATCCACAAGAAATAGAATATCCTGTAGTCTTCGAAGAACTTCCTAGCACGGCGAAAGCCACCGAAACTTCGGTCGATCACTCTAAGAAAACGCGTTCTGGACGTCACGTTAGATTCCCAGAATACCTTCACACCTATTTCACATAACTGAGTGACACATCAATTGTTTTTTATGTTGCGTCATTTAACACAAGTAAATGATATTTTTCCTATAACCGTACATAAAATTAAATTAGATGTATATTCTTTTTTCCCGATATTTTGAACTTTACATTATTTTACTGTATAGTAGATGCATGTCATATTTTTTTCGGTAAAAAAACGCTTATTTGGTACATTTTTCTTGACAAGGTTCTCAGCATTCTTGTTTTCTTTTCCAGGTGCAACGGGTACTGGACAGGAAACAAACGAAGCACGGGATCCAACGAACAACACTGAGGAAGCTATGTACAGACACCCTATTAGCATAAGCAGACAGACCAGCAGGCTCTCGATCAAGCCGCTCGGAAGATTTTTTTCACCCATCAGGGAACCATCGAGATTTTTTACTTCCGGCTGGTCATGTCTTAGGGTCCTCACAAACCCACTAGGGGGGGAGTGAGCTGTAGCGGTAAATAATTCCCCAAAATTATTAACCACAGCAATCATCACTCAACATTGGATGCTGACCATCACTGTTTAAGTCGACTTGTTTAGCTGAAGGCTTACGGTCAAGCATCCCCGCCATTTGGTGCTCCGTCGTGTCACGTGCGTGCACGATTACTAGCTAGCTAAGCATTCACCTCTACCCACGATTTTGTCCCGAAATATAATACGTACTTTGGACGACAAAATCTGGTCTTTTGCTTTACCATTTGGTACTCGAAGAACGAACACTATAGAAGTTGTTGGTATAAGATCTTGCGTTAGTATAATCCGTACAACTCGCGAACGTCGATACCTCCAACCCCTAAACGTTTGTTGTCCTACCATAAAGTTGCCAGTTACTTATTCATCTCCTTTTTGTTGAGTATATGTTTGTTTTCATCTGCCTAATACCACTATTATCGCTATTATCTACCACTCTCTGGATATACGCCTAGCCTATCTTGTTTCCATTGTTTGATTAAAATTCACTATATGACCACTACTGTATTCGTTCCTGACCCTTTCAGTTTTTGCGCCAGTGGTAATGCACTCTTATGTGGTGGGATTGCTGGCTTTTCCTCTTTCCTACGCTCGCAACCAGCTAAGCAAGGCTTAGTAGCGACTTGACTGAAGATCAAGACCGGGCCATATGTGTGTCTGGCGAGCATTCTAGTACAAGTCACTTGGGCTATTATAGAGCCTACATTTTGTCATTATTTTGGTTATAAAGTGTCGTTCGCACTTACATTTAGTATACTGCATTTATTTATTCATATTTCTGCGGTACTAAGATTTTCCTCACACTATTCAATATTACTTCCGCCTGATTGATTATCATAATACAAGAAGGTTGCTTAATTATGTACCCCAACTTTATTTCATTCTCCTAATGGTTGTAAATTTCAAATGGAAGTCATATAGAGTAGACTGCTAATTTAACAAGTACGTGCACCCCAATACGAATTTTGATATAATTTTAATTTGCTTCATATTGTTATTGTATCCTGACAGTGGAGCTCGAAAAAGCTAGTGAAAGCAAGTGTTCCCTAGATTTACACTTACAGTGTATAGCTAATTCGTCATCCTCACGTGGTGTGCTATCTACTTTTTCCTTGTGTTAATTATATAAATTGTTTGTTAGCGTCCTTGCACTACGCCTACCTTCTTATTGGTCATATCCCAGCCTAAAACGTAAGAATATTCGAATAGTTCGTTTAACGCAGTATTTATCAACCTATGTATCATGCTAACACATTCACAAATCAGCCCATTGCTATCACGTATAGAGTAAGATGACTGCATTTTTGGTTTAACGTGTTTGTGATAAGCGCGCTATTGGGTAATTGAAGCGGAGAATCATACTCATATGAAAGGGACGTAATTTAACGTTAGATGACGTTCAGTAGAGGACACTGGTCTTACTTGCAGTGAAGTGAGTGTACTTCCTTCTTTCATAATAATCGTTTGTTGCCGTATTCCCCAGTTACTTTTCTATTGTAGGCCCATTCTGTATGAAACACCGAGACAGTGAAGTAATCTGCGGCTAACAGACCATCTTCTTCGGGTCTCAGCAGTTGTCTGAGCTATCCTAGACATGTCCTACGTTATACCTATTCCTCACACACTATTCCACAATCGAGGCTTGTAAAATTGGTAATCCTGCCAACACAATAATGGACTACTGATGAAAGCACGAATATCGTTTTTCAAAGTAGCTTCGCAGAACATAAAACATAACTGAATTTGTTCAGTGAAAATACTAAGCTAGAAGACTGGATGAGACCCACAAAAAGTACTAAAAGTCACAATTACTCCTTGATTGAAGATTAAAATTTCAGTTAGATGGGGAATTTTTGATCTAAGGTAGCATTTCCAAATCGCCTCATAAAACTTCCAATGAACTATTGATCAGCTGGAGCAATTTTAGGTTGTGAATGACCTTGCGCTATATCCAACGTAGTCGACTACTTGGGGATGGAAAATCCGTTTGCTGATCCTGTTACCAAGTTGACATCGGTTTGTTGACGTGTTCGTTTTATAATCGTGCTTATTAGACACAGTCGCGTGATAATGAAAACGCTCAAGTGTCTCATATCGACACTGCTGCACTAGACAAATATAACCCATTTGAAGTCACCGGAAATCTTCAGCAAGATGAACATCTGTCTAATTTCACTGCACCACCGTCATACTCCGCCACTCAAGCGCAGAGAATCACGACTGCTGAGCTTGAACGCCGCCAGAGAGAGTTGGATGCTAAGGCTGCCGAACTGGCGCGTAGAGAGGAGGAGCAACGATTAAAGGAGCAGAGTCGGTTTGCATCTCAAGAAGGTTTGTGATTATTCTTCATGTATATATCTTATGCGTCGTCAAAGATTTTGTGTCTTACTATTATGTTCACTTTGCTCCCTTTCCAGTGACTGCTGGTACAGTTTTATGGTGTTTCAGTTTGTACTAAAAACCACCAAAATCTTGGCTAAATGGATTGGACTGTTTCTAATCAGATGCTTATTTCTCGAATTGTGAAGAGGTCTTGCTAATGTAGTTTTTGAGTGGTGTTCATTTGTGCACACTTGTCGATTTTCACCTTCCTTAAATGTTTGCTGTCATTCAAGCTTCTTGTATCAATCTTCTCCGACGAAGAATAAGCTAGGACCAATAATCCTTGTGGAACACATCAGTGGGGATCGACCTCTGAAAGTATTAACCATAGATTATACTGCTTTATCAAACCAATAATAAGTCTTCTGACACTGAATGAGAATATCATTTCCATGTGCAATTTATTTACCCACGACTTAAGCAGCTTTTTATTGTGATCTCTTAGAAGTATCCATAACAAGGAGGGAAGTTTATGATGGACGATATACATCCCACCATTTCGTGTACAATAAGCTAGAGGAGGTGTACGTGTCTTCCTGTTCTGACACTCGTCTTATTCCTTCCGTTGGCGTAGTGCTTACACTTTTTTACTGTTGTCACGACTTTTGTCCTATTCTTAAATCGTGGACTAATAGTGTGTATACAGAACCTAAAATTAAGTGCAATGTATGGTTGGTACAGCGCCTTAAATATGTCATCAACGCATTTAAAAACCATCCTCCGAATCGCCCACGGTAGTCAGAAATCCTTATTTGTGGCTGTATTAAAATGTGCAGGTGTTTTCAAATTTTAACTGATAATGGATCTTAAATCCTGCTCCCTAGTGTCAGGCGTAAGTAAGATCTCTGCCACATATGCAATACTACACTTTCTCTGGAATAAACTTCCAAATCCTGACGATAAGATCACCTGAATGGTTTGTCTAAATTGTTGTACAGATCCAATCTACCGGTACTATTATTAATAATCCTCTAAATCTGAACAGTATCTGCTGGTAGTAATGAAGATACATATAGAATTTTAGAACTTTTCACAGGAATGCAGTATTTCAAGTTGCTAAACTTCGCGTGGCACACAACGGTAGAGAAAAGATCCAAAAGAACTATTGTGAGCAAAAATGTATGGGGATAACAATAGTAAAATGAAGAAGCATGAGGGTTTATTGGATATGGAACATTAAAAGGAGTGAGTGGACGATCTTAGACCCTATTATCATCATCAGCTTGAAGCCATTGGCTCTTAACATCCCGAGGACCCTAACCAGGCAGTAGGAATAGCAAAGCAGCTAGATTGGTGTCTCTGCGATCCCACTTTAGACAGGTGTAAACACAGAAAGTGCTCCACGTCCTCATTCCTCACCTTCTCTTAGTTTTGAAACCAATACTGTAGGTTGGTTTCCAACTAGGACCGTTTTATAACTTACGAAGTAGGCTTAATTGCGACACTAACGAATGCATTGTGGGCTGAAATAAGATTTTGTGTAACAGTATACGCACTTTAAACATTATTTTGTTTCTTTGTATTTGGATTGTGTACCTTTTAGGTGGTAATAAATTCTGCTTCCTATTGACTGAATACGAGATTAATAACTACAGCGAAATTTATTGACTCACTTTGATCGGATAGGGATAATTTACATGGCTCATCTGAATGCATTTTTATGAGTGAATCACCATTTAAATCGCAAAAATCTGATCTGTTTAAACGTAACTGATCAGTGAACAATAATACAGCGATGTATAGATTGTCTCCGTTTGCGCAATAGTCCTCTCCTTGCTCAATAATACCGGGTCGCATACAATTTGTTTGGAAATACGTCACTACTCACAACCGTGTATACGTATATATTTGTGGTCTATATAACAATTTCTTCTTAATGTTCGTGTTTTAATGTGGCAGATTATTATTGATTTTTATTATTGTTATAATCAGTTGAACGTCTATCAATTTGTTTTTGTTTCATGATAGGAGTTGCAGCCAAGAATTGGCCTCCACTGCCATCATTTTGCCCCTGTGCCCCATGCTTTTATCAAAATATTGAAACAGAAATAGTTCCTGAGTATAAAAAAGTTGTGAAGTTTGGATATTACCTATGGATGTCTTACGCCTGTTTGCTGCTGGTCAACTTGTTAACAGCATTAATATTCTTCGCTGGAACTTCAGAAGCTTCTGGTGGTAGCCTGTTCGGTGTTGCTATTCTAGTATGCATAGTTTGTATACCTGCATCATATGTATGTTGGTTTAGACCACTATACAAAGCTTTCCGGTAAGTTCTGGTGTTTTTGAAACTAGCTAACACTTAATTTCCTGTGGGAGAGACCATCTCAGCTATATTTAATTCTGTTGTTTCCATACTTCGCGTCTTATGGGTTACTACTGTGATCTGGGGTGTAGAAACAGCATCGATATTCTTGTCGGCCTAATTTTCACCGTAGCGACTATGATGTATTGTGCAAGGTGGCTACTGCACGCGCGACAATCAGCGCGAAGTACTTTTAATCAAAGTGGGGATAAGGTCAGGAGTGGTCGGTTCAAGAATTGTTATCAAATTCCGGAGACTGGGATTGTTATTCTGAACTGGTTAACTTGAAAGACGTTCGACTCTCGAGTATAGGTACATGACTAGTTACTGAAATTTCAGACAACAGAATTAAGCGTTTTATTTGAAACTTTCATTTTATTTTGTTACCTGTCGGGACTCTATGTTTGTCTTGTCGAACGTCCTAGCTCAAACCAATATACTTTTGTGCCTAATTCACTTCTACTGACTACAGAAAATATCTTGGTCTGATGGGGGACTTCATATATTGTAATGTTTATTGTGATGCTGTTCTTGTTGTGCTAAATTATTAGAAAAGTTTGTTAGAGCATGAGTGACTGAGTTTCGGCGTAGATATTTGTGCAGGAGCACATCAGTTCAAATAGCTACACTTTAAATGCCATGCAGGTAAAGAAAAGAGAACAAGGAATTTTAAAGAAATATAATGAGCAGAAATATATGGGAGGAAGAATATTAACTTGCGAAAACATGGCGGTTTAGTGGATATGAGGGATCACAAATAGTGAATGCGTCTGTGCCAATGAAAACGATTTCGAGCCATATCAGCAAAGGTCTCAAGCCATTGGTTCTTAGCATCCCGGTGACCCCCATCAGGCAGTCTACACCTCCACACATAGCTAAAACTAACTCAAGGACTGAATTGATTGATTCTGCATTCTGGTATAACCACCCTTAACTCTTTCCCAACTTAATCCTATATCAGCCAACATTGTTTGTCGAGGAAGGTGGCGGCGCGACATGCCTAACGCGTGTCCTCGTCATTTCAAACGGTGTAGCTTCCCAGCGTTGTCATCTGTTGACCTACTCTCTTTACCTAACACTCTACACCTAACCTCAATGCTACTCAACATGTTGTAGCAATTAACACTAGGAATAGAATGAGAAGATCTGTGGTTGAAGACAACTAGCCTTTTCATATCACCCCCTTTCAGTAGTTATTTGTTTTAGCCATATGGAAAGATAGGGCGAACTACTACTCAGTACACACATGCTTTATTGGGTAGGTGGATATCATGTCTGCTTCAGAGATTATGTCAGTTTGGAAATGCTACACGAGCCTTTTGTGTGCGTGCTGCGATTTCGTGAGCAGTCAGTCCATAAGGGCAACTTCCCAAATGAATAAGGTGGTTAATATGCCCGACCAATTCACCCTCTATCTGTAAACTGGGAGTCAATGCAGACCAATCTTGCAACATCACCTTACATTTGATAGGGGGGCAAAGTATGCCCAACATTCCTAGATTTCTTCTCAAGGGGTTCAGAAAACTCTACGTCTTATCACTGTCTTCACCCAGGAGGACAACATTCGCATACTCGAAGTTAAGTTGACAAGACTGTTCTCTGGTAATGAGTCAATCCCTGGGTCGCTAAAGTTAGTTAGGGTCATATTGATTAGTATACCTATGATAAAATTAAACAAAAATGTGGACAGTAGACATCCTTGATGGACACTACTGGTTGTCATCACTTCAGATGGCAAGTCTCTGTAAGCGCTTACCTGGCTCTAAGTTCGAGTAGAGTGCCTTGATTAGTGCGATATACTTCCTCACAACTCTATTCATGGCCAGACAATGTCGCAGCACCCTTCGATCAACGGAGTCGAATGCTACCTACAGGTCAAGAAATATGGCAAGTGTTGGATGCCACTAAGTATGTCTATATACAAGAGTCTGTCGAAGTGTGGGCACAAAACCAAAACATCCCTTTCTTAACCTAGAACCTGCCTGATTTCAGTCGAGCACCGCTCAGCTTATGTATGATTAGTGGCCCTAGAATTTTAGATGCTATATTGGTTACGATTGTTTCCATATGATTATCACAGGAAGACTTGTGTTCCTCCTCGTAAATTGGGATAATCAGTGACTTACGCTAGTCTGATGGAGCTATCTCTGATTCCTAGACATTTCCTGATACCTTAGTTAACTCAAATATCAGTCAGTTTGTTACCAACGTCCTTGCACAACTTTAGAGTAATTGCACCAGGTCCTGGTGCTCCGCCTAGTTTCAGTTTAGACTTAACCCTAACACACTTCAGCGACTCAGGGATTGACTTGCTATCAGGGAATAATCTCATCGACCTAGAATATGCGGACGATATAGTCCTTCTAGGCGAGGACGCTGACAAAATGCAGAGTCTACTGAACACCTTGAGCAACAATCTTCGTATGTTTGGCATGCGATTCGCCCCTGTAAAAGGTAAGATGATGCTGCAGGATTGGACTTCACCGACCCCTAGATTAGAATTAGGAAGTGAAGTGGTAGAGCACGTTGACCACTTCACTTACTAGGGAAGTTGCATCAGCCAGAGCCAACGGGTTGATCTCTGACGAAATCTCAGCACGAATACAGAGGGCTAGTTTCTCATATGCCAGTTGACGCCGTCCCTGGCGTAGACGTGATATCCGACTATCGACCAAAGGGCGTGTGTACTGCTCAACAGTCCGCTCCGTCCTCCTTTATGGCTGTGAGACCTGGCCATTGAGAGCAGAAGACATGAAAAGATTAGCTGTGTTCGATCATAGGTGTCTACGTTCTATCTCCCGCATGAAGTAGTATAATAAGGTGAACAATATTGAGGTTAGGCGTCGAGTGCTAGGTAAGGCGGGGAAATCAATCGATGAGACTGTGAAATTACATCGACTGAGATGGTTAGGACATGTGTTACGTATGCCTAGTCATCGCCTTCCTCGACGGGCAATGTTAGCTGATATAGGGCCAGGCTGGAAAAGAGCTAGCGGCGGTCAAACGAAAACATGGCACCAGTCAATGAAATCTACAACAGTTAGTCTAAGCCACGTAGGAAGGTGTAGACTTCCTGGTTGGGGTCCTCGGGACGGTAAAAACCAATGGTTGGAAACAATTGGTGACATGGCTCAAAGTCGTTCTCAAAGGTTGGCGCAGATGCATCCACTCCTTGTGACTTATGATTTCCAATGAAACTGTTTTGTTCTTCGTTATTACTATTCCTTTGTCTCACACCTCTATTCACTGTCTATATTATGCATTTCTCCTACTTTCTTCTCTTGCTTTGTGCGCTACGTGGAGTGTGGCGACTTGAGCTGCCGCACATATGTGCAAAGTTCTATGTCGAAAATCGACCGACCGACCGACCAGTTTAGAGACAGTCTTCTAACCACAGTTACAGATGGGGTATTGATGTCTGTATCTCACTGATGTAGGTTTTGGATTGTAGGGCGAATTGAGCGTGGCTGTAGACCAGTTATATTACTCCTCAGAGTATTCCTTTCAATATCGCAGTCATCTATCCTGGTCAAGTGGTGGTCATTAAATTTAAGACTGTACAGAGGTTGTTGTATTCTCACGGAGATATTCAATCGGGTATCTTGCCAGTAGTAGTGAGGGTCGACTTAAACAGTCGAAGATCAAGGATGACGATGGCTGAAGCCCCTACTGTGAACGCAACAGTAAAACTTCGGCATTTCACATCAAGAGTATTATATTTTTTTTCAAACAGTCTTATAGGTAAAGCGATAACCAAATTAATGATAACCTTTATATGCAGTACTTTCTTCGGGGAAATCGCCTGACTGTTTGCCCTGAAGGGATGAACAACAACTTGCAACAGCAATCTAAAAGTGATGTATGGTGAAAATCGTTTTACTCCACAAACGGCAGGATAAATCAAAATGACTGATAAACGGTAATGCACAAACCAGTCTAAGGGTTAAACATTGTGAGGCGAAATAGAGCCACATATGCAGAATGCTAGGAAAGAAGATATCTTCAGTGTTAATGAGCAGGCAGTTAAGTTCGAATGTACAAGCAAGTTAGTGAGAATAGAGGCTTACACAAACTAATCAGACTGTTATAGCACATTAACAGGAGAAACAAAGAACACGAAATTGTTCTGTTAGCTACTATCTTATACAATATTTAAGGAGACTGTGGGGAAGTATTTTAATAACCGAAAGATGTGTAGATAAAGATGTCTTACTCGACTCGCAGTGCTAGCTGACATAGGATGGATCAGGTTGGAAAAGAGCCAGTGGTAGTCAAAGCAAAACATGGCTTCATCAGTCAATGAAATCCACAACGGTTAGTTTAAGCCATGTGGGAAGGTGTAAGTTCCTTGTTGGGGTCCTCAGGACGGTAAAACCCATTGCCTGGAGACAATTGGTCACATGGCTCAAAATCGGTCTCAATGGCTGGCGCAGATGCATCCACTCTTTGTGATTTAAAATATCCAATAAAACTATATTGTTCTTCCATATTACTATTCTTTCCCCCTCACGCATATTGCTGTTTGTTATCTCTGTTTTGAGTCTCTTTTTACTTTCTTTTGCTACATGAACTGCTGCACATCAGTGCAAAGTCTTACGTTGAAACCAGTTAGTCAGTCAGATAAAGGTGTAAAACGTCGGTTTATGAGATCCAAGTGTGTTAGCTGTTTGAAAAATATACAAATGCCTGAAGTCCTTAGCTGGCTTATACTGCAGAAATTGTCCTGTCGTGATATTTGAGTGATGTAGAAAGTTTGTTTTGTGATTACAGGGCTTACGTTCAAACACGACATTACCACAGTGATGAGGAAAACAGAGTAAGTGTAGCAGACAGTCCTTTCTTACTTCTGTTCGTAATGTAACGACTATACTAGAATAATAGTCATTCGAACTAAGCATCCAGGAGGGACATCAGTTCTGGCGAGCACATGTGATAACTAAGTCCTGGATACTATGCTGTTAAGGGGATAAACTGTATTTCAAGTATTCAGTCATGATGTGGGGACCTTTCGCTTATTTCAGAGTAACATTTTTACCTTTAAAAATACTTGTACCTAAGCAACACAAAGAAAATTCTGATTGACAAGGAATCATGTTATTTGTGCAGCGACGGTGGGGGGGGGTAGTATTTGTATCCATATCTCGTGATAGTGAAGTGCTTTTTCTGTCCTATAATTGAGTAAATGTAAGTGTTTTCAGTATGTAATCTGTGAATCAAATGAAAAACTAAAATAACTTGTCCAAAACAAATCATGCTTAAATTTATGATGATAGCACTAATAACAGACACAAGTACACTTGTCTTTTGTATGCAGTTTCTCACCATAGAGCATTACTGTAATCGGAAGTCAATAAGTTCACTTATTTCTCAATATCTTGATTATTTTAAAATAGCCTGTAGACTAACTGATAATGTATTTCTCATTGTTTAAATAACAGGAGCAACAGTTCAATCAATTTCTTCGTATTCTTCATTATTTTCGGCATCCAAATATTGGTGATGATAATTCAGTCAATCGGAATTTTAAACTGGGGTTCATGGTAAGTCCCGTTGTTTTTGTTTGTCTACGGTTGAAATTTTTCTGCTCCAATTCTATGAGTGTTCCACTCTAAGCCTTAGTATCATTTTACATATTTTGGAGTTTCAGTAGAATATCATATTTTCTATTTTCTCTTCACTCCTTGTATCACTAATGAAATATAGGGTTTCAAGTTTCATCAACGCTGGTGTTGTTTTTACCCAGTGCAGTCGCTAACTACTGGCTAATAAATTAAGCAAGCATTAGGTGTGTCAGCGAGAAATCGAACCTGGACATTCCTCGTGACTGACGAGTATTCCATCAGCGGACCACTGACACGCTTTCTATAGAACATGATAAGCTTCGTCTTAGTCATAGTCGCTCTCTTGCTAATTTACACAGTCCCAAAGTGTTATTGAATGTTTTTGCATTTTAGCGGATGGATTACGGGATTGTCAGTGGTCAAACAAACTCCGGTAATTGGTGTCATCACACTCCTGGTTGCATGCGTGTTCACAGCTGTTACCACAGCGTCGGCTTGGTACTTAATACATGTAAGTCCTATTTTAAAATTTTTTATCTTAAAAATTCTCCAAGTTGGAGACTACAGACTTCCTTCTGAATTTTGTGGTCGGAACCAGATTATAAACAGTGTTATAAGGTTATTAATATTATTATCCAAGTATTGGTTGGTAAGGATTTGACTGATGGGTTACAAGATTTCAGCTCATGATCTGAAATACTTGAATATCAATGATATGCTCACTAGCGACTGGCCCTATTCAGATAGGTTCTAGTGAGAATTCGTAACCAGTAAGGTACAGAAGGTTGGGCGTGAGGACAAATACTCGTCGAAGACATTGGCTAGAGGTCGTGCTATGTTGTGAATTGGCAGAAGTTGGAATTCATGGACTGGACATTGGATTGGGTGGGTCCCAGTGAATGGCTTAATGGTCTATGAGCTCGCTAGCCTTGTGACCAGAAGGTCCTGGGTTCGAACGCGGTGGGTGTGTACTACTGAAGAGTCCCAAATTGGGCTGACGAAGCAGCTGTCCAGTACTCCCAGCTGGTTTTCCAATGGTTCTCTAACCGATGTCACCTCATGATAATATTATCATTAAGATGCTTAAGAATGCATATGGAAGAAATATCTTACTGCTCCTGCTAATTTGAAGACAAGTTCCATTTGGAAACAATTCTACAGGAATGTGAGAGTTGGTTAAATTGGGTTCTTGTATAGTATACACCATTTTGAAGTCATACGAAAGAGGAGAGTCTGACTTCTGAAGCAAATATGCTTTTAGTCGGACTAGGAACCATAGTGATTATCACTACCGTCTGCAAATTTATCAAAAATTGTTCAGTACTTAAGATATACTTAAGATATAATAACTACAGTAATAGTTAAATAGGGTTGTGTTGTTTTTCTTCGAAAAATCACATTAGAATTAAGTCATTTTAAAAGCTATCTAAAGAAAAACTCCAGTGGAATGCAAACTAATTTTTAATGTTAGAATCTTTTATTTTTACGAACAAGATTCTTCTTTAGATTAGCAAGATTAGTTTTATAATGGAGATCATTAAAAGCGCCTCTAACTTCAGATAATTTCAAGTATCCTGCTTGTTCAGCAGCCATTGTTTTATCAGTACAGTACTAGAAACAGTATAAAAGAAAGTTTCGTTTGTTACTACTAGTTGTAAAATCTTAAAATTTTTCTTATTCTTTGTTCACTTATGTTTGAATACTATACACCTCTTCCAGGTACATCGCATATATCGCAGCACAGGTGCTAGTTTCGGGAAAGCTAAAGAAGAATTTGCACACGGTGTTGTAACCGATCCTATCGTGAGGAATAGAGCAATGGAAGCAGGATTATTTGCAGCTCGTCAGGCTGCTTCAGGTGCACCAGCCAACAGGTCATAAGAAAACCCTACAATTACCTGACAATTATGATAAAAAGGTATTTTGTGTCTGTCTGATTTTGGGTTAATTTCCTCCAAAAACAAAAAACCTATTACGTCACGTCAAAGTCCCTAGTATTTCTTGTATTTTTGCTGTGAGCATTTGTTGTTCGGTGTTGTGTGTTGAGAACTTTTTTTTTCAAATATCTCCACATCCAAAGTTGTGTGTATTCGATGACTATCACAATGTGTCATAAATTTTCACACTTCAATGATACAACTGTCTCTGTCATTTCTTGTCATTTTACAAATATAAAAGTCATTTAATGCTTCAAACGCTTTTATTTTTTAATTATTTTTAAACAATACTCCTGTAATATAGCGTTAGCGATTTCCACATCACCTTTAGCAACTCGTAGGGCGCGGTTAACTTCTTCGATAGGATAGTCTTCAAAGTTTGTACAGCCAACGTCATTGTTATCGGCTTCACTGAAGAAAAAAAGAAGAAACATTTATAACTCCTAAATAAAACGTATTACTTCTAAGAATAATAATAGTATTTAAGTATCGGTTTGTAGGGATTTGATTGATTGGTTTCAGGATTTCATCATGAACTGACATTGGTTAGCGGGAATTAGTGACCAGTAGGGTGCAGCAGGTCGGGTGTGAGGACAAACACTCTCCGAAGATATTGACTAGCGGTTGCGCTATGTCGTGGATTGGCAAAAGTTAAAATTCATGGGCCATTGGATCGGGTCACAGTGGCTTAATGGTCTACGAGCTCGCCTTGTACCCGGAAGGTCCTGGCTTCAAACCCCGATGGGTGCGTACTGTGAAGAGTCCCAAACTAGGACGAAACAGCTGTCCAGTACTCCCAGGTTTTCCAGTGGTTCTCTAACCAATGTCAGCTCATGATGAAATCCTGAAACCAATGATAATAGTAATTGTTTTTTATCTGCGACAGTTTTGGAATACGATAAACGCTGTACGAAAGTAACTATTGCAGTGATATGAAGCTTAGGAAACCGTGTTCATATTTCAAATGATAGCAATGAGAAAAACCTTTTTGGACTATAACTATCAATATAATACATGCTGTCGTGATTTTTATGTGTGCAATGAAGTTTAGTGTTAGTCGGAATGACATTACACAAAACAAAACAGATTCAATGATAAAAAATTTTCAAACAAAATATTACTAAAATAATATAGTGCGTGGTTTGGCAATGATATTGTTAGACGAATCTTATGTGTATATGATGAAATGAAAGTAACAGCAGTCACATGAGTGGTGTACGTTCAAACAGTTATGTATGGTGTTCTTGTTGAAAGATATATCACCCGTTTGTTGTAAACAGGAATATGTGGACGCTGTTTGATGAGTTGGCAAATATTTTGCCAGAGCTATAGACCAGGTAACTCCCCAAATCTCAAGTGAGCCTTTTGTATTCATGCTAAGATTTCTCCAGGAACAAATCAATTAGGGCTGATGCAACTCCCACAGTAAATGATGTGGCATAAACTGGGAGTCGGTAATGAAGCGAATGCCAGTGACATACTTTCGAACGATGTTTAGAATATTTTGCATTTTCCCACTGTCTGCTTCCAATACGGTCAGATCGTCTGTGACCTGTAGGTAAGTTAGACACCGCCCTAATGGAAAGTCGGGCAATGTAAACTGATATAGGGTCAGGCTGGAAAAGAGCTAGCGGCGGTCAAACCAAAACATGGCACCAGTCAATGAAATCTAAGCCACGTAGGAAGGTGTAGGCTTCCTGCTTAGGGTCCTCGGGACGGTAAAAACCAATGGTTGGAAACAATTGGTGACATGGCTCAAAATCGTTCTCAATGGATGGGTGCAGATGCATCCACTCCTTGTGACTTATGATTTCCAGTGAAACTGTTTTGTTCTTCGTTGTTACTATTCCTTTGTCTCACACCTCTGTTTACTGTCTCTAGTATGCATTTCTCCTACTTTCTTCTCTTGCTTTGTGTGCTACAGGGAGTGTGGCGACTTGAACTGCCGCACATATGTGCAAAGTTCTACGTTTTTGATCTGGTTGTGTTCTCTGAGCTGGATAGTTAATTTACGGAGCTACTGGGTGACATCTTCAGCGCATACTTCAATTTGAAGTGAGATTTTAGATTTCTTCACGAGTTTACTAATCATCTCTCCCGGTGACCTTGGACGTGATTGGTTGTTTTTGTGTGTTTTCACACCTTCGAGACTACTTTCATTGGAATTGATTGTTTCTTTGACTTGAACTTTGGCCTTTTGTGTGTGAGGTTTCTTTCTTATCGGTTGATAAATTTTGTCAATCTCGACTGATGATTCACTGGAATGCCAAGCTTCTAAAAATTCTCTAGCATTCTTGTTGTTTCCTCTGTCTAATATTTGAACGTTGCCCCAATCGAATTGATGCCCGTGGTTGTCTGTATGTAGTGATATGAGGGAGTGGAGACATGACATCCACCTGAGCTACAAATCTTCTCCATCATATCTAAAGTTCTATGTCGAAAACAGACAAAGTTGATTTCTGAGACGTCGAAATTAAAAAGGTATCTATCAGGAAGTTTCTAATACATATAAAATTAGTGACACTGAACACATTTGGCACGATTGGTTCATCACTGTAGACGACGAATCTCTGTAAACTTCAGTTAAATACTTTGTTTAGCAAGTAACAGTTTCTCGCCATTCCCTTTCCATAGCCGTATATTGCCACAAAACCTGTCTGTCAGTGGAGTTGGGTGTTACTTTCAGGTCAAGAAGTGTGACACGCGCCTGTGCTTAGAACTTGTCGAAGAGTGAAGATTTAATCAATGCCCTTTCATTCTAGAACTAAACTCTGTTTAGTTTTCTCTAGCATATTTTCCCAGAGCTCTAATCACAGTCTTCGTGTGACTTTATACTGTACTGCCTAAAACAACTTTAATTGTCGAGTGGATCCCTCTGTTTTAGTTGGATATAGGTGGTTTCTGTGTGTGCTGATGAAAGTGTGGGAAAGATTGTTCTCATGGTTGGAATTGGACCACTGAGTCTCTCATATATTCCATGTTTGATAATGATCAGAATTTTGAGATCTAATTTAGCGGTAATCCAATGTTTATTTGAAGGTAAGTTCAAGGATAAGGCGATAATAACAGTCAAAGGATGGAGATCTTACTTTATGGGTTTATTTTCTCTCACTGAAAATTGGATGTATTACAAATCTCATAAAACCCTGTAGCTAATAGTGATGAAGATTCCTGGGCAACACCACCAACAGCAACAACAGACAACAATCAGCATAAATAGAAGGAACCTGAAAGAAACAACATCCTTTACCTACCCTACGTGGGAAGCATCGTTTCAACTACAGGCGGACGGAACTGACGAGGATATCAAAGCAAGAATCGGAAAAGCAAGACAAGCTTTCACTACTCTCAAGTCTGTGTGGAGGTCAACAGCACTCAGCAGGAAAAATAAGATCCGGATTTTCAACTCCAATGTGAAGTCAGTGCTACTATACGGATCAGAGACTTGGCCAGCGCGTCATAAAGAGCATCTCAAACAAACTACAGACCTTCATCAACAGCTGCCTTCGCTCAATACCACTCAAGATCAGATGGCTGGCCAGAAATGATAAGCAACAGGGATCTCTGGCAATGAGCGAACCAACCAGGAACCGATTGTGAAACAGATAGGCAGGAAGAAATGGAGATGGATTGGCCATACTCTGAGGAAACCATCAAGTGATATCACTAGACAAGCCATTGCTCGAGTGGAACCCGAAAGGGAAGCGGTGAGTTGGTCGTCAGTGTGAGGGTGACTTGGAGGAGGTGATGTGAAGAGGAGATGAAAGCATGTGGGCAGACTTGGAGCCAGGTGAAAACTCTAGCAGAGAATCGAACGCAATGGAGACTCACGGCTGAAGCCCTATGTTCCTCTAGGAATTAAATGAAACAATAATAATAATGACAATAATAATGTTGATAATGATTTAGTTTGTAATTCACCTTGGAACAACTAACGATACTAAATACCTCTGTGACTGTATGAGTACTTTTTATATCTTCTATCCAGTACCAACCTTAATGTCATGAAAAACGTATTACAAACAGCAGAAATCATTCTAAGACGAAAATGTAAATCTTACCTCTTCTCTGCTTGTGCCAATAAGCTGATGCTTTCACATTGCGCTCCAGATAAGTCTGACAGAAAAAGTAGAATGAGAAAAATGAATAGTATCCAGCAGAATGGAAATCATCAGTTGTTAGTGGATTCGATAGTTCACATAGAGAAATAGAAACATGAATTGTTATAAACAGCAGTATAAATTATAAGTGAAATAAACACTACCTGCTAATTAATAACTTATGTGAATTTGTCCTCCTACACAAAAAATCATGAAGGCGCACATAAGCTTTATTTGAAGTAAGTGGACCTTTCCAATAGAATACGTTGAATATAATGCTCAACAAGTATACATCACAGTTATGATAAGTTATATAATTAATAACCCAAGATAGTATTGCGATACCTTGTGATACAAACAATGTGTGCCACCGGAATATTATTCTCACGTATTCCCCAGTTCAATACTACATTGGCAACAGAATACTATATATATTTGAACATTCTATTTCATGTCCTTTGATGTAAACCGAAATCACACACAGTGATTAGTTAAAGAATATAAAACTGTACATATATAAACAGCGGTTTGATCAATGAAAAATATAATTCGGCTTCCGTGTCTTGCCTTCTGTTGTTACAGTATTAGTAGCGCTACGAGTCATCACCTTCCGCCTTCAGAAATCTTTGCTGACATAACATTAGGCTGGGAAAGAGTTAAGGGTGATGAGGCGAAAATAGTACGGACCCATGAAGTCTTTGACTAAGCCACGCAGACTGGTATGGACTTCCTGGCTGGCGTCTTCGAGAGGCTAAGAATCATTGGCTTAAGATTGTTAGCTCAAAGTCGTTGTCAATGGCTCAGACGTGTTCAATTTTTGTTAATTTGAAGATTCATAAAATCCTCATCACTCTCCATTCACAATT